TAGCGTAATGTGTGTACATTTTGAGTCTTGGTTTGGTCAATTGCCAACCTTTACAGTTCCCTCCTTTTTCTTTTCTTTTTTTTTTTTTGCTTGCGCGCGTTCTACGTCCTGTTCTGACCATTGTAATTCAGCAAGTAGTTTGCTCATGTGAATAGTTCGAATTTGGTTTTCTAAAGTTTATCAAAAAAATTGCTGAAATCAAGAATAATATCCAAATGAGTATGGCTTGTCACCAACTTGCATTAAACAGAGAAGGATGGCTGATTATCTGTTTGACTATGTCAAGTTGTTGATTCTGTACTCCTTTGCGTTTGATTTGTTAAAAGGCTAGCTATATCTAATATTAGGCGAAAGTCAATCCAGTCACCTGCCATCAAAGGCCAGAAAGCTGAAGCCTTCTATGGAGAACCATATTATAGAGCTGAATGATAAAAATCCTTTATGCTGGTTGTTGCATGTAGATGAACTAATTAGTGTGACGTGCATAGCTAACATATACACAAACTTACATGTAAATCAATGTTCCCTGGATCTTGCTATAGCTCTACCTGACGTCATGAAACTTCCTACTTGCTATAAAAAACTAAAGTTACGGTGTTGTATGACGACTGTTGCTTCTCTATCTTTGTATAGTGCAAGGTGGTAGATAATGACGTAAAACTCCAGGGTTTTTTTTTACGTCAAACGTAGAACGTGAGCGTGCTAGGTCACAACTCACAAATGTAACAATACAAGCACCGACAACAGAATTGGACTTGAGAAAAATTTGTCGAGGAGGATCATAAAGGAACATGACAAATTCAAAGTAACGCCAATGCCTTCGCGTTTCACCAATTCCTCCTCCTACTAAAGAGCCGGAGGCAAACAGTAAAAATAAACGCACCACAGAAGTTATTTCATAAAGGCAATTTATCTACAATCAACAAAAAAATAAATTATGTAACCAAAAACTGCAACTTGAGTACATGAATACACTGATGATTATGGCCAAAATCGATACTGCATATTGGAAAAGATATTTCTGTAACGTGAGATTAGTAAGAATTAACCAAAAAAAGGTCAATTATCCATCAGAACTTGCTATTACAATACTAATAATCCTTCAGAGCCGGTGATTTCATGAGATAAAAGACCAATTATCAAAGCTTTTTAACATTTTCTCATAATTGTTGCTGCTCATAAATCTGCATGTAAGCTTCAGAGAGGGCAACCATCTGGGGAAGAGTTTCTGTTACATGGAGATCTTGCATCTCATACCTGATCAAAGGGGGCAACGGGAAAGTTACAAGAGATCTATAAGAAATTTATAGAAGGAATAATTAAAAAAAATTAAAGGAACCATTGACATACCATAACTCTTCCGACTTCCGTTGGACAAAAACCCTGTAATATCCTTCACCCGGCTTGCCATCATGAACAATATTTGCAATAAGATCGTACTTTGAGCGAAGCCTCTCGTTCTCCTTGGGTGCAGGCAAGGGTATAAAGTCCTTCAATTCAAGATTCTTCACAGGAAAATTAACTGGTTGAAACCAAAGAACAATCATAGATCAGTGGATAACCTAATAGCATTGCATCAAATATTATTTGAAACATAAAACACATCATAGATGAGTTGATAAATCTAATAGAATATCATCAAATATTATTTCTATACAAGGAACTTTCAAATACTAACCAAGAGTAGGATTCTTTTCTATGAAGAAATTGTTCTTTGTAAACCGACGCATGTGAACTATTAAATACTTGGGTAGTCTAGTGACACGATATCTCATCCTTGCGATGCAAGGCCGAACAACTTCTGTGACAGTCTCGCCGTCAAATTTCTTCATGATGTTAAAAAGAGGAACCTAACAAGCGAATGAAATTAGCAAGATGATAGGTAGAAGCTTGACATTCATAAAGGTAGCAATTACACATTTGACTGTAGTCAATAATTCGAGAAAAGTAATTGTGCAGCAACTGTAAAATATTACCACCATAAAATGTCACTGGATGAACTGTTATTCTTCCATGAAGTTAACAAAAACAGTGAGGGAATCACAGAACAAGAAATGTAGAACGTTTAGGATGAGGGTGTTAGTTTAGTCATGATTGGATTATTGGATTTTCCAACTTTATATAACTACAGGAAATTTAGAACTTGTTAAACTTGAAGAATGGTTAGGGAAAATTATAAAGATAAGCAAATAAATAGATGTTAAAAAAAAACAAAGATAAAAGGTTCACTGAATTGCAGTGCAATAAGACCAAAAGGATGGGAAAGCATAATAACAGTGAGCTAAGAGCAACAAAGTAAACAGTGTCACTAGCAATTCACATCTTATATTGAAGTATATGTTGGATTAGACTAATATATTCGCAAACTATTCATGAATTAATCATCAAACTTGTATAATTTTGAATTATACATGATTTTGAATTATACATGAATAAGTTAATTTCTAGAGAATATAACATTACAAAAAATGACTAAGGAATAATCCAATAACACGATGATTTGTCAAATTTCGTGCTTAAACAGCTAATAGGATCTTCGTATGCATAAGAGCCTCAGTTCTGGGGCAATTCTTTGAATCTTTCATTTGCTTACTGAAATAATGATTAAAATATAGTATATCCCTGACAACCTATAGTGTAACTACTAGCAAGTGTTGCAGTCTTCGAGATTCAGAAGAAACAGAAGTCTACGAACACATCTGTGCCAAGTTCCACTCTAATGTACTCATCCTCTCCCTGTTGTCCAAACCAAGGTTTTAAATATCGGTTATCGGGGATTCATCGGACGGTCAAAATCCTTATCGGATAGCGGAAATCGGGGATATATCGGGGATAAGTAGTATTTATCGAAGTGATATACTAAATGGTGTATATATATGATATAATAACCAAAAAATATAACTCTAACCATACTTAATGAAATATAAACATACCAAAATATAAATAATCATGCTTAGAATCACTAACCAATTGTAGAAAGCGAGTCGGGTCGGGTTTAACTCACTAAATAACTACCCATTACCCGAAAATTCAACTCAGAATTTGGCCCAATAAAGCCGACATTTAGAGCCTCCCTTATCGGCCGATAGGTACTTTTATTGCCGATAACTCGCCGATAAATCCCAAAAAACGATAACCGATTAAAAATCCTACTTATCCTAACGAAAAGCTCCCAAATCCGATAACTCGGCGATAATATCAGATTAGCGGCCGATATTTAAAACCATGGTCCAAACTTATCAACCATTTCTAGCACATGATCTCAACCCTCTGCGAGGATGCAGAATCCCTAACAAACCATTACTCTCAGTCGTCAATGTGATGCTGATCACCAGAATCGGTACCAAATTCTTCCCTTGATACCCTAAACTAGGTAGAATATATATCTTGTATCATGTAATCTAATTTTGTCAATACCATGTGACAATAGAGCAACTGAAATTTTGGTAGCAAATCTAATGATTTATTTTTAAAAGGTATAAGCAAAACCCTGAAACGTCTCTACAGCAAGTGAACTGCAGACACTCAGGTTTTGAAGAACACTTACATCTGAAGGGTGAAAAATTTGGAATAAACACGTAGTCAACATTTGAATGGAGATGTCAAAGTTGTCAACATTAACCCTAACGCTCTCAGTAGCAAGCAGTGTATGCAACAAGATAATCAAGTGACTTTAACACTGATCAAGGCCTACAGAAAATTTTACAGAAGTTACTGTTACAAGAAAAGAGAGTGACAATATTTCCTTAAGTAACATAACCACGTCCGAATGTTACATAGCTGGCATTAGCTAATAAATAAGTAAGCAGTTAATCAACATACACCTTTCCCTCTAAAAGGGCTTAAGGACAGAGCCTGATTCTAACCAAGAAACTGTAATGAAAACATTCACAAAACTTTTACAAGCGTCAAATTAATAGCAATCCTCATGTGAGTTGATCATATTTCCTTGTCTAGAAAAATGCAGGCAATTTTCTGATAAAATTCCAACTATCATTATACCTCTGTACTGGCAAGTTATATGGAAAATAGAAAATAAACAGATGTCACTTGATGTGCAGATAAAAAGGTAAAATTATATATTTGGAGCTAAATTAGAGTACATAGTCCATACTGCCATCTCAACAAGATTTAGTTGTAGGCTCATGTATGGAAGACTCCATTCAATCCTCCCCTTGTGTACCGTTGCAATGTATTCTACAACTTAATAGGGATCTATTATCATCTTGCCAGCAATTTTATCATAGCAGCTTCCACCAAATCCAATCTTTTCCCAAAAATTGTAGCACCGCTTTGAACCTCACAAATTCTTCAAATACATCCCTCCACAAAAATGCCCAAAAATGATAAAGTACGAACGCCGCCGCCACCACACACACAGGAAAAAGAGAGATCAGGAAGGGTAAAAGCAAAAGCAGAAAAACACAGCTTGACCTCACTCACACCCAACAGCAGACCCAGGTTAGGGTCAAGGGGACCTTGGCCAATCAAAAATAAAAGGGGTGTAGTGAAAGCCTTTGCATGAACTGGGGGGGATTAACCAATTATCTAAACCATAATTTTGTGACAAGTGACAACCCCACTTTAGTCCCACATGGACTAGTGTGAAGAAAGATTAGTGGTTTAAATAGAGAAAAACCCAAGACCCTAGACAACTAGTGCTAGCATTTTGGCAGGGGATTTAAGCCAACATCGAGTTGCTCTTGGTGGGGCCCAGGGCTTGCACGTGCCAACGGGCCCGTGGGCCCGGGGCGTGACAAGTTTAGATGATGGGGGCTAAAGTGTAAAGTCTTTGCACTAAAAGTGAAACTCTCATAAGTTACTTCTAGTGAACATGAACTTTCCTGAGTTTTTCCTTTAGATCAACTTGCGAACTATCTCTAATGTAGCTACTCATCATAATTTTTGTTGAAATACAAGGAATCAATAAACTTGCTAAGAAATTTGTTGGATGGATTTTATATCCTCAGGTGTCCAAATTGGTGAAGTTGACGCAAATCTTGCCGGTTACAATGGCAAATGTTGAAAGAGCATTTCTGACAATGAAAATTATTTACAATGGACCTTTGAAATAGAATGGTAAATGAGTTTTAATATGAATGATTAGTGTCTTATATTAAAAAGATATATTTTGATTATTGATAAGCAAGAAGAATATTGTTGTAAACACTATTCTAAATTGAAATTTCATGTCGAAAATCTTGTTATGTGATGTTTAGATAGTGATGAATCATGGAAAAAGTTTACCTATTATCATAGTTAACTATTAAAAAATTTTGCCCCTGCCCCCCAAAAAAAAATTCATGGGTCCGCCACTGCTTATGGCCATGGTTAAGGAATAGAAATCACAAAACAAACTCAACAGTTGGTACATATAGTGAATTTGGCTCGCAAAACCTAAATGAAACACTAAGATGGACATCATTAATAACAAAACAACACAATTGTAATAAAGCAATACACCTAATTGAGATGGCAAGGTAGGGGGAAAACAACACAATAATCATGTTCATGCATGAAGAAACCAAAGAGGTTTTCTTAAATCAGCACACAAACTAAAAATACATCTTTAATATAGGCAAGAAATATAATCATAGAACGCCTTGAAGCATCACATGTCCTGATGTTGTAATAATCTAAACAAATTTATAACATTTTCTACCTTAAAAGAAATTGACTGTTAGCAGGCATACTTCTTATTCAGCATTCCTAGAAAAGACCCCTTTTAGGTGGGGTTCACGAGTGACGAGTTTGCAAGGAAAATCCTCAAAAATTCCAACAGTGAACAAAATAAAAGTTTTCCGACATACAAAAGACAAGTAAAATAAACAAAACTACCATTTGTTGCTGACCTATGTTGCATAGGTATAGGTACAGGTACGAATATCAATGTTGCATAGGTACAGGTATAGGTACGAATACCAATGTTGCATAGGTAGAGGTATAGGTACGAATACCAATACGGGTACGAGTATGGGACACGACAAATTTATAAAAGACGACAAATTTATAAAAGGTAGGGTACGGAGACACAACTATATAATCATTTATATACACATATAGTATATACTAGAATTAATAATACATATGGGAATAAGGATGAGAATTAAATTTCCTAAAACATTTTATATTCTTTTATTTTGTGGATTATAAATTGGAAAATCACTAGTTTTGAACTAGACGTCCAAATGACCTTTCAAAATCATAATTCGGAACATGATTTATGTCCAACAACTCTCAAGAAGTGAATTTGAATTGTAGGATATACGTCCAAAAAATGTACGACAACTACTTTAAATTAAAACACGTACTTTATGATTGAGTACAGGCCCAAATAAATGTATGCATACATGCAAAGACTACCCAAGGAGTTTGGGTATGGCTATAGGTACGGGTACGGATACGTGTCTGGACTGGTACAGTTTCAAATTAGAAGTACCCATTTAACATAGTTGCCGATAAACACAATAGAGGTAAACCTAGATGTTAATGATTTTCTGTGCTCCAAATACCAAGGAGAATATTTGAATAGGCACAAAAGTTAACAGTCAAAGATAACTTTCCAATGCCTTCTCCATCTGATGGGTTCTTTATATCTCATACACTATTATAAAAGCGTGTAGGATGTAACATTTTCTACTGAAAGTGTCATCCAAAACACATACATCCATAAAATACATGTATGCATCAAGGTTTTAAATATCGGTTATCGGCGATTTATCGGACGGCCAAAATTCTTATCGGATAGCGAAAATCGGGGATATATCGGGGATAAGTAGTATTTATCGGAGCAATATACTGGATGGTGTATATATATAATATAACAACTAAAAAATATAATCTAACCATG